TAACTTGAATGCGATTGCTCCAGCCTTTTGACTACCAGCGGTTTTTAGGACTCTCTTTGCAGGAATGGATCGCTCGTTACTTGAAGCACGACCAGTATAGCCTCCTTTTCGGCCTCGTGTGCTGGTCCCTTTGGAGGACTAGAAATGACCGTGTTTTTGCGAACAAGGTCATTATAGTTGAAGGCTTTCTACAACGCGTCCATGCATGGATTATTCTCGTGAGGACTGCACTAGACAAGGACATAAAAACTCACTATCCTGATCCGCCCACAAGAACGGAGGAGTTGATCGCTTCGACGCCGCCTCCTCCCGAGTGGGTCACTCTCAACTCAAACGACTCCGTTTTACCTGAGACAGGCCTTGCTGCTGCAGGAGGCCTCATCAGAGATCATCGAAGACGCTGTTTTGCGGAAAAAAATCCCACTGTACACACGTTTCTTAAAAAAAATTTCCAAAATACATAAGTTATAAAAAAATTTCCCAAAGTACACATGTTTGGCATTCACCGTGTTTGACAAACGCAGTGAAGGTAATCACCGCGTTTGTCAAAGACGGTTAATATTTCACCGTTTAAAACTAAAACGGTGACGTATTCACCGCCTTTATCTAAAACGGTGATGTATTCACCGCGTTTGGAGAGGACGGTGAATACATCACCGTTTTAGTTGACAACGGTGAATACATTCACCGTTTTTGGTTAACGCGGTGATGTATTCCCACGTTTCCCACCCCTGGTAGGTCAAAATTAGGTCACACCTACCTATTATTCACCGTTTGAGACAAACGCGGTGATGGGGTTCACCGTTTTTGTCAAAAACGGTGAATAATAGGCAGATTTTCCTATAAATACCAACCCTCCAGCAGAAGTAAAAACATAACCACTCCCCCCTTCTTCAAATTTCAGCAACAAAAATCGAGCATAATACACAGAACGGACATTTTTTGGTATGTTGAGACTTTTCGTATTATAGTCTAATTATGTTTTTAGTAGTTATAGTATGATTAAATTTTCGTATTATGTTGTTGTTAGTTAGTTGAATTTATGTTCGTTAGTTATAGTATGATTTAATTTTCGTATTATGTTGTTGTTAGTTAGTTGAATTTATTTTCGTTAGTTATAGTATGATTTAATTTTCGTATTATGTTGTTGTTAGTTAGTTGAATTTATGTTCGTTAGTTATGAGATGGATACTATTAGTTGTACAATATGATTTTGGTTAATTTTACTGTCTTTAAGCTAATAGATACTTATCCTCGATTTGTAGATATGGGTAAATTCAAGAAGTTTCATCTTACTATTCGGTGGAATGGAAGGGTGACAAACTCTGACATAGGCATTGATTATGAGGACGGCGAATCCATTATGCTGAAAATTGATTCCCGATTCAATTTTCAAGAACTCTGTGATCTTTGTGCAGAAAGGGTTTGTACGAGTGGACAGACGAGACTTGGCAAAATTACTTACCGGTATCCAGACATGAGTGCTGGCGGGGTCGTGTTCCAAGAAGTTTTCATAAACGATGATGACGCGGTTACGATGATGTTACAGTTCCTAAGCGATAACCAAGTCCGGCTTGCAGAGGTGTATGTTGAGACCGAGGCGGTCAGTGAATCTCATTCTCACCAGTATTCTTATGATGATGGTTTTGCAGGAGGGTACGAATGGGGTGGTAGTTCGAGCAACTACCAAGGCAGTGGTTATACAGGAGGTTACGGGGAGGGTGGTGGTTCAATCAACTACGGTGGATCGAGTAGTGCAGGATGGGACAAATACTCACAACCTCCTAAACCAGCCCCATTTGTTGAGGCCGATGGTGTTCAATGGCCTGCTTGGGGGCCAGAGTGGTATGGAATCGAGAATACCATTCGATCAGGGCGTACTTCACATGAGCGAGAGGACGATGTTGGTGATCGTGGTCATGTTGATCCTTCTAGCCCGAGCTATCCATTCGAGTCGAGCGACGAGGATACTGAGGAAGATTTGAGATCAGTGAGCGAGGAGGAGGAAGATACTGATGATAACGAGGATGAGGCGTCATTTCGTGAGGCACCCACGCCATATTACACACAGGTTCCAACTCAATTTTTACATAGTCAGAATGATCCCCCCGACTTTGTCCCTATGCTAGTGTACAATCCGACGACCAATTTGGAGGTGGGTATGGCGTTCACATCGAAAGACGCTGTGCAGGATGCTTTTATAGAAGAGGCGTTGAGGCGCAATTTCGAGTGGAAGGTAAAATATTCTGACAGTAAACAACTACATGTCATATGCAAGCATGATGCAGAGGGTTGTACGTGGCAACTGCGGGCTGCAAATATGAAGAGAAAGGGTGCTTGGGTGATTCGCAAAGCTGAGACGATCCACACATGCTCCTCTTCTATACTTTCCGAAGATCACAGGCAACTAAAAGCAAAGAAGGTTGGGAGAACTATTAAGCACCTTATAGAAGCACAACCAGATATCAAGGTGAAAGCTATCATGGCAGAGGTGAAGGATCGACATTCTTACACGATAAGGTACAAAAAAGCATGGCATGGTAAGCAGAAAGCCATGGCTGAGGTGTATGGTGATTGGGAGGATTCGTATGCTTTACTCCCTAGACTTATGGGAGCAATGGAGGAGTCCAATCCTGGGACTGTTCGTCCCAGTATACAACAATGTATACACTGAGGATCAAGTTCGAGTACAGGATAAGCTGATGTTCCATCGTCTTTTTTGGGCTTTTAAACCATGCATTGACGGTTTTGGGTTCTGCATACCGGTTATTCAGGTATTTTACCAACTAGTTCCGGTTTTAAATGTTGTATTATTTGCTGTTAAGTATATTTCATACTAATTATATCCTGAATTTTTATTCAGGTTGACGGAACTTTCCTTACTGGGAAGTACAGAGGATGTCTTCTAATTGCCACTGGCGTTGATGGAAACAGGCGGATTTTCCCGCTTGCATTTGCATTAGTGGAAGGGGAGAACAGCTTAAGTTGGGCTTGGTTCTTTGACCAACTGCACAAACACGTGACACAGCGGGAAGATATTACGATTATATCTGATCGACATGCGGGGATAAGGAATGCTGTTGGTGGTTTTCCCGACGAGTGGGGGTGGAGATGAAGATGGTGTATTCGACACTGGCTCGCCAATTTCCAACACAAATTTGGGAAGAAGAAAGACATCAAAAATCTACTTTGGAATGCAGGTACTAATGTTTTTCTTATGCGATTTATGTTTGTGTTTATTAGTACACAATAAGCTGATGTTATCCATCATGTATTGACCAGTTAGTCTTTTGTTCACCTTTTAGCGGTTGCACATCAACCAAAAAAGTACGAGCAGAAGATGAAAATGATCCGTCAGACCCACCGAGCTGGAGCAGTATGGGCTGAAGGTCAAGAGTTGCCCATGTGGACGTTCCATATGGACAACGGGGCCAGATGGGGCATTGCAACTACCAACCATGGAGAAAGTATAAATAATGTGTACAAGGGTCTTCGAGCGATGCCTATTTCTGTCATCGTGGAAATGTCTTATTGGAAGGTCAACGAGTGGCGAGTTGCTCGGCTACAGCAAGCTATAGGGAGGGAGTTGCAAGGTCATTCAATAGCACATGACGTATTCGCTCAAATGCAGAAGAACGATGAAAAATCAAGTAAGCATAAGGTTGTTCTTTTTAACCGCAGTGAAGGAATATTCGCTGTCGAAACAGGTATATGGGGTGGAGGGAGACGTGGTCACAATCGTCAAACGGTTAAATTGCACTATGAATTAGGGGAGTGTTCTTGTCAAAAGTATCAGAACGAAAGGATACCCTGTTCCCCCCTCCGCTGCTGCTTCTTGGCGGGCTCGCTCAACGGCTGGTCGCGGATTTCTCTTGACCCGAGCCCCAACTGGGGTTACATATGGTGGTGGTGGTGGCTGAGATGGAACGGTAGCTTGGCGAATGATCGGAGGTTGCGGAGTTTGTTGTTGTGGGGTCTTATACATCGAACTCTGTTGCTGATGTTGGAATTGAGAGAACCCATGAGAGAAAGTGTCCCATTCATGAGATGGTCAACGACTCGATGACCCTCCACCGGCATCCGCTGCAGGTGCCCACTGGTACTCGAACGCTTATGGGAGCTCGGTTGCTTGAGTTGTACGCACCTCTTCGAACGTAGGCAGAGGCCTGCGTTTGCTCCTTCGTGGGGGCTCAACCGGGGGCACAATGGGTGCATCATCACGGAATGAGGGTCGTGCCGGGGCAGGAACGGGAGGATATGCCACGACATCCCTCCTTTGCTCTCTGGTGCAACTCAGGAGGTTGTTCATAAGTCGGGTCAACCAAGTAGTCTTCCGCTCATCCATGGTTGGAGCACTTTCGAGAGTGTACTTGGCGTGTTCCAAACCATCAACCTAAGGAAAGCACAAAATGTATAAAATTAACTAAACCTTAAAATAAATATATTTTAGAATGAGGGAGATTAGGATGACTTACCAACGAACCCATCACAGCACCTTGCTTTGACACCCATCTCATGGTGAACTTCCGATACGACTGCATGTACCCATCGTGGTAGCCCATCGGTCTCGTCTCCGGCATCCCTTGCACCACCCATTGGTGTAGATTCTCCCAGATGTTGATGTAGAATCCATGCTTTCGCTGCCAGTTCTTTGACGAGTGTCGGAGGTCTATAGCATGTAGCTCCCTGAAACCTGCTGGCGGGTCTTGTGGAATTGGTTGCTCCATTCGATATTGCCTCAGGGATCGATCGGGTAGGTGCCATTCCACCATGTGCCAGCAGATTAATGGCACCTTGCACAACCATGTGTCGTGATCTAGAGGGTGCCTAAGATGATGCAGCTCAACCACTTCATGTGGATATGGATCCCATATAACCTATATCCATTCAAAAAATCGGAATTAACGACCATTTACTTTGACAAAATTTAACTTGTTCAAATATGGACAAAACATGATTACCTGATTCCACCATGGTTTATCTAACTCAGAACGATAAAACAGTAACGAATGCTCAGGTTGATGGTCATTCGTATTTGCTCCTATCCACCTTGTAAGTAAAAGTACGGAATCAATTTAATTGAAATATAGCTAAGCATATAATAAATTAAATTGGTCTAAGTACGGAATAAATTCAATTTAAATCTAGCTAAGCATGTAATCAAAATTAAATTGGGCTAAGTACGGGATAAATTCAGATTAAATCTAGCTAATGTAATAAAATTTAAATTGGGCTAAGTACGGGATAAATTCAATTTATTTCTAGCTCAAGCATGTAATAAAATTTAAATTGAGCTAAGTACGAAATAAACTTACTTGACACCGTATGGGAGATTTTGCAGAAAGTTGAGCTCATCATCGTTTCTCCGGTATGGACGTGGGTCGAGAGGTGCGAACATTGGAAGATGCTCCCATACCCACAGTTGTAGGATGAACATCGCAGCACCAGCTTGCTTTGCCCCAACCTTCGAGCAAGTACACAGCTCCCGGTATACGCCCGCTAGCACGGCCGATCCAACTCTTTTGCCCGATTGCATCCCAATCACCTGTGAGCAACTCCAACCATATGCCTTGAATCTACCGGTTGGACTTGTCGGGGAACAAAAATCCACCCACCAAACCGATGAGGTAGATGCGGGCGTAGCGCTCGACTTGTTCTTCCGGTGTCTCGTCATTGATCACAACCTCTTGCTGGATGTGAGACACCAGCCACGGGACCGACACTTGGCCCGCATTCAACGGTGGATGCCCCCGTCCTTGGATTGGAGTGGTGGTCGGCATGTCAAAGCCCAAACGATCACGTATGAGCGGCCCCCAACCTACTTTGGGTTTGGTCTGGGGACCAATGACGGCATCCCCAGAAATAGGCATCCCGGTTGAGGATCGCCACGTCTTTGAGGGTGATCGTCATTTCACCCTCCGGAAGGTGGAACGTATGGGTTTCGGAACGCCATCGTTCCGCCATTGCCGTAAGCAGATCGTTGTCGATTTCGATCCGTAAGAAATGGCGCAACATTCCCAAACCTGTCCTCGCTATATAGGGCTCCAACCTTGGATGCCAAGCGGGCAAGTTATTGGTCCCTTTATGAACCACGGGAACAAGCGATTCCTAAAAAAAATAGGGAAAACAACAATTTATTAGATTAAATAAAGCAAAATAAAACCTTAGAAAATAATAAAATAAAGCAAGAATACTCAAAAAATTACCGGATTGTTATCCCAAATAGCACGGGAGCGATGAGCTTCTTGATCGGTTAAGAGACTCGCATCCCTTGGGCCATAATGGATATACAATCGAGGATCGTATATCTCGGCACCCATCTATAAAAAAGTAATGAAATCAGAGATTGTTTTGATAAAAAAAAAAACAAAAAATCAGATTGTTTCGATTAAAAAAATTCATAAACAAAAAACCTACACGAAGAGCCTCTTCGTCCATTTTTGGCGTAGGCCGGACAGAGGTTCGACGAGTTTAGGTGTAAGGGACGGGAACTTAGCGGTACGGGGGCTTTAGGGTCAAACTCTAGTAATTCTTTCTGATGTGGAAGATCGGACTTAGCCGCAACCATAGAGCATACTTAGAACGAGACTAGAGCGGATAAATTGAGGGAGAAAGAAGTGAAATGTTGGTGGGGTGAGTTGAAAGTGAAAGGGGGAGTGGGTATTTATAGTTGGGGGAAGGGGGGGGGGGGGGGGGGGGGGAGGAGCTGCTGCGCAGTAATTAGGGGAAGCGTTCACCGCGTTTGATGAACGCGGTGAAGGCTTCGCGTTACCCTAAAACGGTTCCCCCGTCCACGTGGCCTGCTGTGAGGCGTCGGATCGTGGGAAGAAAACCACGATCCGCGCCTCACCGCATCTAACGGCCACGGTGAAAACACAATGGCGCGGATCGCTGACGTAAACAAACACGGGGTATTCACCGTGTTTGTCTACCGCGGTGAATGCCCCGCGTTTGTCCACGTCAGCGCCTTCACCGCGTTTAATTAAAACGGTGAAGATATCACCGTTTTAAAACGGTGATATCTTCACCGTTTCCATTTAAAACGGTGATGCAATCACCGTTTTTGACTAAGACGGTGAAGCTATCACCGTTTTACTTTAAAACGGTGAATGCATCACCGTTTTAATTAAACGCGGTGATTATCTTCACCGCTGTTGTCAAAAACGGTGATGCTCAAGCATGTGTACTTTTGGAAATTTTTTTATAACTTATGTATTTTGGGAATTTTTTTTAAGAACGTGTGTACTTTGGGATTTTTTCCCTGTTTTGCAGTGTTCGCTATGAACCTGGGGATTTGCTCCATCACCCTTGCAAAGTTGAGAGTCGCCGTTGAAGGACTTCAACTGGCTTGGGACATGGGCTACAGACGTGTCCGCATGGAGATCGACTCCCGATGCGCTATCCAGATACTTCAGGGAGAGGATAACTCAGACCACCAGCACGCAATGGTGATTGACCGGCTTCATGAGCTGCTTCGGCGTGACTGGGACGTGACATTTTCCCATATCTATAGAGAGGGGAATAAGAGTGCTGATTTTCATGCCTCTCGAGGCCACCAGATGGAACTTGGCTTCCACTTTGTACCTATTACCGATCCTGCTTTATGCTTGCATCTCCTGTATGACACTCTAGGGATTTCCGAATCCCGGCTGGTTTTGACTGAAGGTTAGGATGCTTTGCATCCATTTAAAAAAAAAACAAGCTTAACCAGTTAGACAATGCACTTATATTCAATTAAGATCCTAACTTTAATACATTACTATAACATTCTTAATAACATAAATTTTGTCATGCTCAAATCCTTAGTTTAAATTAGCCTGATTACTCTTCTACTCAAAGAGAATATAATACTTTATTCTTTTGCGATAATTTTTGCTTTTCATCATACTGATTTTTCCTAAACAATCTTTCATTGAAGATCATGGTCAATAGACCCTGATGATTTCATAAGTTGAAATTCCTTCAAATTCGTTAACCACCCAATTACAAAAATCAAAACACATTTTTCATGAAAAATACAATCTCCAACAATAGAACGTGCTAGGTTTTTCTCTTTCAAAATATTTCAATTTAATCGAACTACATGGACTTTGATCACCAAGTACTTGGGTACGTAGTCAACCTATAGGTTCGAGTCCAACTAACCCAAAACTCTTTCTTTACTTTTGACAATTACGACAATAAGCGTAGGATCAAATTGTATATTTAGAAATACCCAATTAATTGAATCCTATAATTAAATACGTAAATAAGGCACAAATAATTATACATCCAATCTTTCTAAACTTATCAATTTAAATAGTACCAATTTATGGGCGTTGTGGGGTTTGAATACACTTCCTCACACGTTACCGTACTCTCAAACCTAGAATCTTAAATTTTGCAGACCAAATGTAAGGTTTGACCATAAGGTTGAGACCGGACCGAATAGTGTTCGATCCACTACATCTAAGATCAATGGTGACTCTAAGCAAAATGTGACGGATACCCTTATCCCGGAGGGGCGGTTGCGACAGTATGGAAATGAACAGTCTGATGACAATGAAGATTATGAACAAATACCTGAATGAGATCATTAAAGTTGACTCCATGGGCCTAGAGAGGGAAGACTTGGCCATCTCCACCTTGGACACTCTTTAGGGGCATTTGTGCTGCAAATGACTTGTAATGTTGATGTGATTCATTGATTTGTTTAGTCATATAAACACATAAACCGCTTAATTGTGTCAGTATGACAAAACGTTCACAAGTACGAACTCTTAGTACCGAGTCCAAATCAAACAATAAGGGGGACTATTGCTCCAAATGTCTTATAATGTTGATGGACATGTGATTCATTGATCTGTTTAGTCATATAAACACATAACCATTTAATTGTGTCATAATGACAAAACTTGCGCAAGTACGAACTTTCAGTAACGAGTCCAAATCATACAATAAGGGGGATTTGTGCTCCAAACGTCTTGTAATGTTGATAGACATGTGATACATTAAATTGATTTAGTCATATAAACATACAGACCGCCTAATGTGTCATAATGATCAAAAGTGCACAAGTACGAACTCTTAGTACCGAGTCCAAAACATACAATAAGGCGGATTAGGGCACAAGTACGAACTCTTAGTATCGAGTTAAAATCATACAATAAGGGAGATTTGTGCTCCAAGTGTCTTGTAATGTTGATGAACAAGTGACTCATTAATAGGTTTAATCATATAAACACATAAACAACTTAATTGTGTCATAATAACAGAACGTGCACAAGTACGAACTCTTAGTACCGAGTCCAAATCATACAATAAGTGAGATTTCTGCCCCAAATGTCTTGTAATTTTAATGGACATGTGATTCATTAAATTGATTTATTCATATAAACACATAGACCTCTTAATTGTGTCATAATGAAAAAACGTGCACAAGTACAAACTCTTAGTACCAAGTCCAAAACATACAATAATGTAGATTGGTGCTCCATGTGTCTTGTAATGTTGATGGATGGTTTAGTCATACAAACACATAAACCGCTTAATGTGTCATAATGACAAAATGTGAACGAGAACGAACTCTTAGTACCGAGTCCAATTTGTACAATACGGGTGATACACGCTCCAAATGTCTTGTAATGTTGATGAACATGTGATTCATTGATTGGTTTAGTTATATAAACACAAAAACCATTTAATTGTGTCATAATGACAAAATTTGCACAACTACAAACTCTTATTAACGAGTCCAAATCATACAATAAGGGTGATTTGTGCTCCAAATGTCTTGTAATGATGATGACATGTGATTCATTAAATTGATTTCGTCATATAAACACATAAACCGCCTAATTGTGTCATAATGACAAAACGTGCACAAGTACAAACTCTTAGTACTGAGTCCATGATTCAAGTCTAAATGAAAAGCTTTCATCCCCGTTTCTCTTTGGCGTTTGTGGCATTTGAGCTCCGAAAGGTGTGGTTTTACGCTAGGTTTGTCGTGTTTCAGTGTGATTCTAACTCACTCTGAATACCACAATAAATTCCCGCCTAAGGTCCAAGTATAAACCTTAGTCGGGTGCAGTGTAGAATAAGTATGTTTAAATATCAACCTAGGCCGGTCCGTCAACCCTACTTCTGACGTTTTAATCATTATCTAGCAACAAAGTTTTGGTTTAAAATTTTTCTAATTACAATAAAATAAGGCAAAGGTAAATGGTTTAGAAAACTCTTTTATGGAAGGATCAATCAGGTGTCGCTTCCCCCTAACTACTACCATGGTATATGAATTGGAACCATTATTTTGGGCAAGATAACCGCGAATCGCAGAGGGATGCATATATGGTCGGAGACCACGATCTCAATTGCTAAACCGAGGTAAACATTATAGGCCGTGTCACTCGACCCTCTCAGTTTAGGCAATCGGTAGTTGACTTACTTCCTCACTCAACTTAAGGGTCGGACGGCTTAATCGCGATTAACCAATTTGCTTAATTCAAAATTGAGGGTTGCCATAAATTAACCTTGTTAGGTGACTTAAAAAGCTTAAGTAAAACCAACTCGATTGAGTCTCCCATGGAAGGGGGATTTTCCTCTCTAATCTAGGTTAAGGTGGCTAATTAGATTGCTAGCACCAACATGCACAAACCTAAGGATGCTAAGCACAAAACATGCACAACCCTTAGGTTGCTAAGCACAAGCATGCACAACCAACATGAATAATACCTCAATCATTGAATTAACCAATACCCAATGACAATCATTCAATTCACATAAAAGGAACTACATGGTAGAGTTAGGGTTTCACAACACCCAAGTGAAAGGAAATATACTCCATGCTAGAAATGGGGAAAAGACAAGGAGAAGAGGTAGAAACCATCTTGGAGGATGGTCCCAATCTTCTTGGCCCTTGTGTTGAACTTTCCTTGGTGGAAATCTTACCAAAACCCAACTTGAAGCAAAAACCTAGCCTTCTTCTCATTTGGTTTGTGTTTCTCTCTCTAGAAATATGAAGAAGGCTTTTCACACAAATGGGGTCTCCCCTCTCTCCTCCTTTCTGCTCATCTTTTAAACCTGAGACAGCTCAGTTCACGGTTTGAGTTCACGGCCGTGAACCATGAAACGCGTCCGTGAACTGCAAATGAATGCCAAAACGCACTGCTTCGTTAACTTCCGTTCACGGTCGACGGCCTCAGTTCACGGTCTTAGTGACCGTGAACTCACCTTACCTCAGTAACTTCTGTTTTTGCTCTGGACGCCTCGAGGTTTACGGTCAATGGCTCTTTTTCACGGGCGTGCAATAGCGTAAACTTCCTGGGATAGCCGTGAATTGGCCCTTTTCCACTTCTTCTCCCGGTTTTCGATCCTTTTCGTCCAACTTTTGACTCCGAGGCTGGTTTCACCTGTTAAATCATGAAACACACTAAAACACGAGAAACCTAGCGTAAAATCAAACTTTTAGGAGTGAATTTGCCACAAACACCCAAGTAAAACGAGGGTAAAACATGTACATTTAAGCCCGAATCACTCCCCCACACTTAGAAGTTTGCTTGTCCCCAAGCAAACCATTTAACACAAGGTAATATTTCAACCTACACAAAAACTTTGGGGACAACTCAACGGGCACTAAGTGGGAATTCTCAATGGCTATTGGCAATCAATACATGGACCGTTGCAAGCAATACCGACATCCACCACAAACGACATTCGAAGCCACCAAAAACGGGCAAACGAAAAGTTCTCACCTTGTTCATGGATCAAAACAAGTTTCAACAAGACCACTTATCAACCGCAACCAACCATGCATGGAATTCAAGTCCGAGAAACAAATGGAAAGGAAACAAAGGTCCTCACCGGGGTATGATATGATATGCAAAGCAAGAATGAATCACTCACTCTCAAGACCAGTGGGGTCGGGACCTTTTTGGTGCAAAATAAGTGCACAATCACAAACTCTCGACCCTATCATATCAATACCACGGCGGTAACCTCTAGATGTTAGAGTTCACGGGATGGTTGTCACCACTAGCTCGTCTGGAGGTCTTAGGCACGGGTTCAGATGACTAGCAATTGTCTTGGACATGGGAAAAAGGATATTTGGGTGGTGGAAATCATGACTTGAGTTTCTACATCTTCAACCTAAACCCGAAGGTTCTATGGTTTTGACTAAAACCCCTCTCTTCAACCCAAGGCCACTAACATCGGCAAAAACCCTTATGTCTCCTTTCCAAACTATCACCCATCGTGAACTACATTGAAGCAATCTTCCTCGGTCTACTCTTGCTAGCAAATTAAGGTTTGGTAGTGAAGGAGTTCTAAAACAATGTGGGGGTTTCAATAGCTTGGGTGCCAAGAAACCCCTTGACACGCTAAAACGCAACACCAAACTGCGACTAAGTGTAATCGTAGTCCGGAAATGCAGAATAGTGGCAAGTTCTATTTATCAACCCGGGGTCTAGATCTACTGCCTACTCCATGACGATTTATTATCTAGCAAACTAAGTTGATTGAATGGAGTTTTAAGCAAAAGCAGTAGGAAAGCAGGAAATGGTTCAAAGTTCTTAAGCAGGGGAAGAGTCACTCGTGTATAGTCCCCGTAGCTCCTTAGTTAGGTCAAATTTGTAATTACCCTTAGTTGATTTACTGTTGATTAAACTGCGGCAGATCCGACAGTAGCTTGGAATCT